AGCTCAAGTGTTTACAATAATTTTGACATTAAGTAGGAGTTGCCTGAAATAACACCTCAGAGGAGTTTTTTGAGAAATGCACACCTGTCAGCTCTGGAGCTGAAAGGAGGTTTCATCACACCTTGTATCTTGCACAACATTCTCCAGGTTGAGACCAGAAACTAAAGAATCAAGACCCTTTCTGGAACTTGTTACACATGTGCAATGAGATTTTCCTTTCAACACAAGATAATCGTTGCAATTACACCTGCAGCTGCCACTTTTACTTCCAAGAAATACTGGCTTTGAGATCAAGCGTGTTGTAAGCATTTTCTACTGCCCTTTACTTCACAATTTTCTTCCTTCTGCAGTTCCAAAAAAATCTAAGCCTCATGATGGACATGATTTGGAATATGTCATCATTACTAGGATAGTTATCTCCCACTCAGAATTGGAAACGCTATTTTTTTAAATCTCATTTTTTTAACTGTCAATATATATTAAATTGGGTATGCATTTAAGGAGTCAGTGTTTCACTATAAAACATGTGTTTGCTTGGAGTTTGAAGGCAGCTCAGTAACTCTGAATGGGGCCTGAGAGATTTTTAAATGAAACAGAGATTTCAGTTTTCAGATGATGTTTATTTTTTCCCTGGACTTGCATAACGCATCAACACGCTTCCAACCTTGGCTGTGACATGTCCCAAGGCAGATGCCTTTAAGCTGGATTCTTTAAAATCTACACGTATTCTAGTAATTTGACACTGGCTTCTTCCTGATGCAAGAATCCTGAGAATGAAAGCTTCTATCCACATAAGCAAAATCATTTTTCTATGCAGAGTTAAGGGGCCTTTTTTGTACTTCTAAAGAGTTACTGCTAGAAATGAAGGTGCAATATTAATGGCTCTTTCCACCTCACCTTTTCAACCCACAATGCAATTTTAATCTGCTCTCTGTAGGAAGGCAGCTGATCTGTGATACGACACACCAAAACATTTTAACACTACTAAACACACACATGTGTAGACTACGGATTTCATTCAGGTAGGTTAGGCAAATTTTGTTTTAACAAAGGAGAGATTTTATCCTTACTTGTTTTCAAATAAAGATGTGATAACAGTTTAGAAGACCAAGAATTACCAGGGGTATAGTTAAGACTCTTCAGCTAAAGCCTCACTTTTACATTGCCTGAGTAGTAGATACCAGATGTAAGAACACTGTGCAAAGTAGGGCAGGCACTTACTCCTTCACTTTAAAACAGGGTGACGTGGCACAGTGAATGCTTATGAAGAACTCCAAGAAGTAAATACTCTTAAAATAGCTTCTGCTGCACTAGAATTCAAGTTACCTCTAGGACTCTTCACAAGCGTATCTTCAGTAGATCAAGAATATGAAAATGCTCTAATAATAAACTTACTTTCCACTGCCACTTCTGATACTTCTTTATGGAATGCCTTGTACAGACACCTGATTTGCTCAAGCTCTTCTTAAGTTTGCAATATCCCTATATAATTTTGCATCCTGATGCAACCCTCCAACAGGCTTGGGAAAAAAAAACAAAGTTAAGAAAATGGCTGGACTGTTCCCCAGAAAATACTCTTAGACTTTCCAGAAAAAAGCAGAAATGGCCCTCCAGAGAGAAAATACTGTTTCTAAAGTGGTAGTAGCAGGGATAAAGTAGCCCAAAAATTCTTCACACAAAGAAATGCAAAGGCAGAAACATTTTTACCTTAGTACAAGCAGTAGCAACTACCTTCTCTGCACTGCTACTTGCACAGCAATTACAATTGCTGATGAGGGAAAAAACAGTGGCACAGTTGCTGAATTTACAAAGCACATTTTGTTAGAAATTCAGCTAATCCATGGATTAACACACAAACCACAACAAAGGCAGAATCAAAATTCTTGGAGCTCTACCAAGGTTAGATTAAGTGACCATATCATTCTCTACATCTGACAAACAACATGAACTTTGGTTGTAAAATCAAAATCCTGTCAGAGAAAGCCAGAGTAAATACCACTGTAGGAGGTTTCTTTCCTCACAGTTCCACTTGCATCTTAGTCACATCCTTACACAGATAAGGAGGACCTACAGAGCTTTCTACCTCCAAAACCTTTTGCGTTTTGCCTACTCATTTCCTAAGATAAGCATCACTGAAGTTAGATGAGAATTTGCTCTTATTTCCAGAAATTTCCAGAAGTTTAACAGAGACTGAGTTATCTTCCACAAAAGTATTAACTTTATTTCCAATGCTTTCTGAGATGAACTCATTCAAGGTATTAAGGCTTTTATGCTGTCCCTTCAGCAGCTGAATGCTCTTTGTAAGGGAGAACATAAAACCAAAAGATTCCAAGTGTCAGTTGCAAAGGCTGTAACACACTTATTCCTTAGGAAAAATATGCAGCCTTTTCATAATCTTGTGCAAGTTTTCTGCAGAAAGAGAAATAATCACACCCCCTGGGTGAAGAAGGTTAACCACTTCATCCTAATTCTGATCATACAGAATGAATAACCCAGAGTCATCAGTTTTATGACCAGCAAGCATCAAGCTGCCTTCCAAGGAAAAGGATAGAGGGGAAACAAGTAATCCTTGGCCACTTTTACCAATGTATTGTGAGGCTTGGTTCACTTTCTGTGTAAACATGCATTGTTCCTGTCTGGTTACTAATAAGTGAGACAAATACTTCTAGTATCTAATATTTCTGCCATTTATTTCTATTCCTCAAAGAATAGATGTTGCCAGTTGGACTTTCATGCATCCTCTGCAATCTCTAAAAATACTCTGTATCCAGTGAGTGAGAATTGAAAAACCTGACTTCAGAAGAATTCAATTTTATTTACATGAGTCTGTTATTGAAGTGCCTTTGATGGAAACACTTGTATTTATCAGATAAAGCCTGGTTTCAAGGCCAGGGTGGATGGGGCCCTGGGCAATCTGATCTAGTGAGTGGCATCCCCAGCCATGGCAGGGGGGTTGGAACTACATGATCTCTAAGGTCTCTTCCAACCCAAGCCTTCATGATTTTGTGACTCACCACAATCTGGTTTTCCAACACTTCTGAAAGAGAGAGGGAATGAGGCAATGTTTTTTGCACTGGGTTTGGGTGGTAAGGTTTGGGGTGGGGGCAGTACTGCAGGGGTAGCTTCTTCAAGTAGCTGCCAGAAACTTCTATGTCTGATAGAGCCAAAGCCAGCAGGCTCCAAAATGGGCCTGCAACAGGCCAAGGTCAAAGTCATCACCAATGGTTAATAACACCTCTGTGGTAACATATTTAAGAAGGGGAAAAGAATTATTGGGCAGAAGTAACTGCAGGCAGAGAAGAGTGAGAATATGTGAGAGAAACAACTATGCAGGCCAAGGTCAGGGAGGAGGGTGGGGAAGGAGGTGCTCCAGTCACTGGAGTTGAAATTCCCCTGCAGTCCATGATGAAGACCATGGTGAGGTAGACAGTTCCCCTGTAGCCCATGGAGAACCCTACACCAGAGCAGGTGGATGCCTGAAGAAGGCTGTGACCCCATGGGAAGCCCACACTGGAGCAGTTCATGAAGAACTGCTGCCTGCGGGATGGACTCACATTGGAGAGGTTTGTGGAGGCCTGTCTCCTATGAGAGGGACCCCATGCTGGAGCAGGTGAAGGACTCCTCTCCCTGAGGAGGAAGCAATGGCAAAAACAACCTGTGATGAACTGACCTGCACTCCACAGGGGAGGAGGTAGAGAATCAAGAATAAAGTTAAGTCCAGGAAAGGAGGGCGGGGGGAGGTGTTTTTAAGATTTGGTTTACTTCTCATTATCCTACTCTGATTTTGATTGGTAATAACTTCCACTGATTTCTCAAGTTGAGTCTGGTTTTGCCTCTGACACTAAGCAGTGACTGACCTCTCCCTGTTCTTCTTTCAATTCATTTAACTTTCATAGAATCATAGAATCATAGAATAGATTGGGTTGGAAAAGACCTCCAAGATCATCAAGTCCAACCCCTGATCCAACTCTAATTACTATATCATGGCACTAAGGGCCATGTCCAATCTCTTTTTAAAAACTTCCAGGGATGGTGAATCCACCACCTCTCTGGGCAGGCCGTTCCAATGAGCAGGGGAGCGATAGAGCAGCTTTAGGGGATACCTGACATCCAGCCAGGCCAAACCAATATCCTTGAAAGCCAAGCAAATAAATTCCCCTATGGCAGCTGTTCTTGAACAGAAGTCCACATTCAGGGAAAACAAAATATATTGAGCTGTTTCTTCTTCATCTAGCCAAAGAAAAAATTTTCCCTGGAGAAAAGATGTTCCATCTCTCATTCATTCCAGCTAGAGGCAAGTCCTGAGAAGTCTTCCTGATGGCTGATACTCAGTCCAGACTCAGAACCAAGATTTTATCTTTTGGAGGCCTGATTGTAATGACTGACATAAAGGAGTGAGATATTTGCTTCTGTGTGCTATCACTTAACAAGAAAGGATTACAAATTTGGTATAACCAGAAAGGACAAATCCCAATGCAACATGTTAGATAGCCTCCATTATTGTTCAGTTTAATAAACAGCAATTTTAGATTTGGCTAAGCGTGCCTCCCTGTATCAGAAATTATAAGAAAATATAACCAGGAATTAAGTATTTTACAATGCAGGGGTGTCTGTAAAGTTATTTGATTCTCAAAGTTTGTAGCTCATTCTTTTCACTGAGATACAGAAATTCTCAAGTAATGATTGTTAAAAGCACAAAGGAAATTATTTAAGACAAAATTTTCCCGACCTTAGCCCCATTTTGTCATTCTCTAACATGACTATCTTCCCCCCTTATAATCTGTATATGATTAGAAAATTAAATAATTTAAGAGATGACTGGGCCATTGAAATATTCTAATTACACACAGAGCCCCTAATGTACTTCTTATATATAATTACATACCTGTGACTGTACATGCACACAAATACGCCCTTTATACACAAAAAAGTGTACCACCTGATGTGTGTTTCTCCTAGCCTGCAAGACAAAGATTACTGGCCATAGCTGAAAAGGTTACCTGGATCTGTGCTCTGTTTCCAGCTGTTATATTAGATATTGTCCAGCATGCTTCCTTTTTGATAGATTCTTTGGGCTGCTTAGCAAGTGCAGTAAACTCTGCAGGGCTGAACAATTCAGAATTACCTGAATACAAAAGGAAAAACAAAACAAACAAACCACACCTTAGAAGAAATTTAGGATAAAGAATCACAGGAACAAGAAAAATCTAAAAAGCATACTCCACCAGATGATCCAAGAAGTTTTAATAAAAAACCCCAAACCACCAAACATGAACAAAACAAACAAAAAAATAGCAAAAACTAAAAAATACATCTTAGCAGGAAAGCTAATAAGCAAAATGACTCAGGTAAGAGATCATGCCTTTATAATGATTTCAGTGTGACCTAAACACAAGAAGATACCAAGCTCATTATGACCAAAGAAAAATAAGATGATGGTGTTTTCCTGTATTTTTGTACTCTTGTAAGCTCCAGCTACTTCTGATTTCCACATTAGCTGGCACTGTGGGGCAGCTGTTGCCAGTGTTGTGTCCAGTGACATTATGAATGGCAATTCTTACTTTAAAAAATTGTAAAAAACACTGCAATTTTACAGAGCAGAAAAACTGCAGGGAAATTTGTTATTTCCAAAAACCAAAATTTTAAGTGCTGAAAGTACAACAGAAAATGCCCCAGAATTTGGATGTTACAAGACAGATTATTTGAGTATGTCATGTGTGGCAGTGAAGGGCTTTTTGACCTCCTAAAAGGCTACAACAAGGTTCAAAGACTGAAAAATGGGAGAGTCTACCAAGAAGCATAGCAGTTTTGCCTTGTGTGGCAAAAGCAGACAGCTTAGAAAGAACAGCGTGGTACAGAATTTCCTAAGAAATACTCCAGTTGAGCTGAATCATAATCATGACTTCCGATCATCAAATCTGTGAACTGAATTCACTTGTTCATATGCCCCTGGCCCCTTACTCTTAAATTTTTTCAACTAAGATTAAAAAAGCTGAGGTTATGGGTTCAGGACCATATCAGGTGTCTTCTGGGAGAAATACACTTATTTCTTCATGCCCACTATCTGTGGTTTTAGCTATCTCCAAGCACTGGCATTTGTTAACAGTTGGAAAGGAGAGAAAAAGAGAAAGCAGGTTTGTGCTCTAATATCGTATGTAGAAGTTCTAAGGCAACTGGCTTATCCATTGCATTCATATTCAGAAATGTATCAGCTCTCAAAGCTGGGCTCTTCCTTCTGACTAATGATTTTTATATGCATCCTGTATCACTTTTTAGCATACAGCACAATCTTCAGGCAGGACTATCAAACTATCCTACTTAACAGTTCTCTAAAATTTTAGGAAAGCTTATGGTATGCTTCCCTGAAAAAATCATGCACAAGAAAAAGTTTAATTTTTTTTTAGCTAAAATCTAAGATTTGTGCAGTATTTAATAACCCGCAATACATGTGAGTTAGTGATCTCTTGTGGTTTTATTTTCATTGAAATTATAAAAGCAAAACCACACCTTAATCATTCTTTATGATTGATCTGTGAAACAAATGCCAATGAAAAAATACAAGAATGCCTACGCAATTCAGCCACACAAAAATGTACTGTAACAATCAAAAAATCATGTTATCTTCCTCCTAATGATAAGATATTCAAACAGTGCCCTGGTACTAACTCGTCTTTAACTCCAATCTCACTGTTACAGACCTACAGAAGCATCCCAGTGACAATCTAGTGCCTCTGAGAAGCATCAGGTTTCCTGGCTCCCAATTTAATTCCAATAAAGTGGTGGGAGTCACTGCTTCCTACTGATGCTTCTCCAAACATGTGCTGAGACACAGCTACATACCATCCACAATCTGACCAGACACTTGTTTTCGGTATACTTATCCTAGATTCCCAACAACAGCATTCACTGTGACAGGCCTCAGATGGCCCTACCACAGCACATCACTCAGCATAAACTTCAGCCTAAGAGACAGATCTGCTTTAAACAAACAAAAAACCCCACAGGCTTGAGGGGTACTGCACAGCTGTCTGTAAGTCCCAGACATAGCTACCTAGGGATCACCAGCAGTTCAGGACAGAACAGAAAAACTGAAAACTGCCACGATTTGAAGCAATTAGTGTCATCAATCCTTACTTTTAAACTTCATAAGGAACAAGAGGAGATGCTTGTGAACAGGTTACCACAAGTGACAGAAAGATGAACTGCAGTGCAACACGAAAGAAAGTGAATCCATACCTGGGTCTGGATATCATCTCCTGTGACGATGTTGCCAACAGCTCGTAAGGCAGGAGATACAACTTTGTAGTCATTGTGCCTAGAATTGACAAGAAATATTTAAAGTATTAACCATCCTGAAGCATCTCCATCTTTACATTATCAAGGAAGGAATATCCACCAGCCAGGGGAAACTTCCCTGGTAAGTCTGACTTAACTCTCATTACCTGAATCAAAACATTCTGATTTTAAACTAATGGTAAGCCTTCCTAGGGTTTCTACATATTTAGGCCTTTAGACATCATTCAGCAGCATAAAAATAAAATATTAGAAGAATACAAGTACTTCAGAGTTTAAGCATCCTTGGAAGGGAAAAATAATTAGCTTTAACTATAAAATATACTTAATGTAGTACACACAAAGCCAGAGAATGAGACAGAAGAACACAGATAAAACCTCTGTGTTTAACCAATACAGCTGTTTGATCACCTTCTGTCATCATAAGCATCCCTCCGTCATCATTGTTAAATCAGGTTTGGAATAGGAAGGGTGAAGAAAGGAATTTTTTCTCAAATGAAAACACCTGCTTATAAAAAGCTACTAAGAGACACTATGTTGTATTCATTAATCCAGCATCACATTCGCTTTAATATTAAAAGCCTTAACAGTCTTTTTCTTTATATCAGTGAAAACCATTATATCTTCTTCTTAGGCAATTGAATGTTCCATGTCCTGACCTTAGGCCTGAAGAAATGGCTCTGAACAAGGCCAGTCTCTGTGACCCCAACTCTCACAGCTACACTTTATTGCCCAAGGTGTGCATATACTCTTCTACGGTAAGGGTTTAGGAAATTCTTTATATTTCAAGTTCCCGGTACTGTCAATTCTAGCAAATTTAACTATTTCTTACATTTCTATCTTTGATATCCTTTTGCAATTTCCTTGTTAGGTAAGTATAACATGGTCTTCAATAGCACAGGGAGAATTCTGGTATATATTATAGATTTTACAAAAGTGCAGCTGTTAGATGCAGGGAAAAAAAATGTCTTAATAAATAGCAAAACTAGTACAAGAGAAGTTCCACTGCTTCTGTTACTCATGACAAACAGAGAACATCAAACAGACAGGCAAAATTAAGGCTCAAATCTTGCTCTTTGGAAAATTATGACAATTCAAGACACATTTAATTGAACTTCCTATTGTTAGAACCTTGATTTTAGGGAAAAGAGTAAACAGTAAGCTTGCTTATAACAAGTTTCTTACATCAGCAGTTCCACAAGTCTTCTGCAGACTCCTGCATCAATCACAGCCTGGATTTTATCATTGGGGCCATCAGACAAATAAGACAATGCCCAGCAGGCATCAGCTAATACATCTGTATCATTGACAAACAGCAGCCAGGAAAGCACACTAAGACAAGGTGAAACCTGTAAGATATTAAGAGGAGAGACATACACTGTACAATTAGAAGAGCCAGTAGATCTATCATTATGTCAGCTAATTTTGTATGTGTCATTATAGGCTCTGCACTGGGATATTAAGGTTCAGTACTTAGAAAATCTCAGACCTAGGTAGCACTTCTGTGTGGGGCTGTAGCTACACAAGCACAGAGGAGCATGTCTGCAGAAAAGCACTATGACAATACTTCAGCCTCTGCAGTACAATGTCTTAAATTGTATACGGCAACTTAAACTCATCTTGTCTGCTAAGATGTGCCACACACTGCACTACAGCAGCCAAGATCTACGGTGTTTTTCTGCTATGGGATGGTCATCTCCAGTACAGGAACAGCAACAAAGTTAGGAGGCAGCCATATGAAAACAGTGCTTGTGAATGTCTGCCCAAAAAGATTACACTGGTAAGAAGCCCATGAAATATTTCAGAATTTTTCTGACCCGTTCTTTCTATTTAGCTTAACTTTCACCACCTTCACTGCTTATTTGGCTATCACCACTTCACATTTCCTTTCAAGCATCTCTTACCTTGGCAAAATCGGGAGGAGGATTTTTCCCTCTGCAGAGGTTGGATAGAGCCCATACAGCATTTCGAGTCATAGTGAGACGGTTCTGTTTTGAAAGTAATCTAAAACAAACAACAAAAAATTCCAGCCCTTGCCTTCTAAAAATCAAAGCCAGGCAACCCTCTAGGGTCAACTAAATGAATCACTAAAACAAACTCATTTTAACATATACCAGGGCAAAATACAGTAACATTTTTTTCTATAAAATTACATCCTGAGGAAAATCATTATTGATGGTTGAATACTAACACATATGCTACATATAGGAATCTAGTATCCCAACAAGCAAAATAACCATTACACAAAGTGTGTTCATTTAATTGCTTGGATACTGATGTGGCAGACTAACAGTCAAAAAGTGCAGGAATTGTGATAAAATTACTTAAAGGTGGACATGCAGGTAGTTTTGGAGAGTTCTCTCTTAGCCAAACTGAATTTTTATGTCAGCCTCAGACTATGAGTCCCACTTTGGCACAGGAAAATGCAGAAAGGCAAGACCTAGTTTTCCCACAAGTGTAACAGTACAGTTTTTCCCATAGCTGTCCCCCAGTGTACCAATGTCTTTAGGAGAGCACTGGAGAATTCTCCTGCTGCAAACAGAATCTGCAAAGGAGAGAGACTGAGTAATCGTAATTTGGACATGACAACACAAGATGGTGTCACTGTCTTCAGCATTAATGTGGTCCTTAAGCAGAGGACCATCAGGATAATTAGCAGACTAGAGAAACGGCACGCAATGGGATTTGTTCAGCCTTAGGAAGAGATTGTGTAAGGCGAGACATAACTGCCGCCGGCAACAGTTTAACAGGTGGTTACAGAAAACAGGAAGCCAGAGGCTTCTCACAGTTGCACAGTGACAGGAACAAGAGGCAACCATCACAAGGCAAAACAGAACATTCTGATTAGGTATCAGAACACCAGGTTTCACTGTGCTGCGGTCAAACACTGCAACAGGTTGCCACAGGTGGTTACAGAATCTACTTCTGATGTTCCAAATTTGACTGGTTAAGTAGTAGCAACCTAATCTGATCTCACCTGCTATGAAGAAAGGCTTTGAGTCGATGACCTCCAGAGGTGCCTTTCAATTTAAATTATTCTGTGACTCTAAAATAAACCCAGGTATCCACCCACACTGTAGTATAAAATAGTTCAAGCTTAGCTGCTTCTAAAACATGTTTCCATTTTAGCTTCTCTACAAAAGTAGTTCAGGACTCCCCACTAAAAAGTCTGATCGTCCACAACTAAAAAGATATATATATTATTATTCTTCAAGGCAAAATGCCCAAACTTCAGTCTTATCAGACACTCAAGCAAAATTCTGGAAAACATATTAAAACAGACTTACTGCAATAAAGGGGGCAGGATATTACAGTCCAAAACATAGTCTCTGCACATAGTGCTGTCTCCAGCAATGTTGCCAAGAGCCCACACTGCCTGTAATGAAAAACAGAAGAGTAATTGCTTTTATTCTCAAAATTCCACTAGTTTAACATATGCATTAGAGCTGGGAGATACTCTGTTCTAACTCTTAGGTCCTGGACAGCATAAGAAGGGGAATGCATTCTGGTTGAGTATTACACTCCAACTCATTATATGGTTCAGGAATATTTATACAGATCTAAGAGGAATACCATTAACAGCCAACATGTGTGTCTCCAAAGACTGTGTAGGCAGACATAACCTTGCTCTATCCACAGTATAAGAGATGAGTTCGTCTCCTCAGGCTTAGTAACATTCTAATTCTACACTCCTCCTCATTCAGAGCTAAATCAAATCCAGATGTTCATAGCACAGGTCAAGCAAGACTGTATCTACCCAAAAATGTTGGTGTGAAACAGCCCATATTAGTATTTCCTAGAAGCCATAAAAGCATGCATTATTTACACAGTCAGATAAGGATGATGACAACAACTAAGATAAAGATGAGAATCTATATGCAAATAAACCAATATTCAGAATCAAAGAGTTCAGATGAGCATTGACATATATTCTTTAAGATAAAACTATGTGAGACAGAATCAGTGTTGCTGATTAAGCCATATGCACGGCAAATTGCAAGGACAGATACTTTCTCCCTTGGGCATCTGTACTACCATAACACCTCATTTTGAGAAGATCAAAAATATCAGAATTAAAGCTGCATGAAATCCATACTCTGTAATATGATGAGATTAAAATATTTCATTATTTTTGATTTACATATTTGGGCCAAGTGGCATTTTGGTATCACTGTCCACTAGTATGAGAGCTATAACTAAAAAAATTACTAGTAGTCTATGTGAAAGATAAAAGTGATTTTATGAAATCCATGCAAATTGCAGACAATATTTCGTCACACAAGAAAGCATACAAAATTCACATTTTCTATTTATTTCAAGTTAGCAGAAGGCTAAGTCACATCAAATAGATACATGTATCTGCTTATTTGGTTGGCTTATTCGGCATTTGGCTTCATAGATACATGTATCTATACAACCACTGGAAATACTTCCAATTCTGCATATAGAGGACAAAAACAATCTTACTTATCACAGATAGCAGCTCAATGTCCTCCTCAAATTTCTCTTCAGTTAAAGGCTACGTACTTAGCTGTAGTAAAATGTGTTACAGTGCATAACTTTCTCCAGTTGAACACAGGCAAGTTCCTCAAACAAAGTAAACATGTTTCCCTATCCCTATACCTATTGAAAATAAACTGCTCCTCTAAAAAACCTGATAGAATAAGCCAAATTTGTTACCTAAAGGTAATTCTTGGACAATCCAAAATAAACTTATTTATTCGCTTTCGATGTGATGTCAATTGATTTATGGCATTAGATTTCTCCTGTAACATGTTTTTAAACAGTGGCAAAGAGATGCTACTTTGAAAAACAGACTCCAACCACTCTGGAGGCCCAAATCCACTAGCAAACCATGCAAAACTAATACAGCTAAAACCAGATGTATATACAAAATGTAGATACAGATGTCAGCTTGTTAGATACAAAATATAAAGGTGACTCCTCTGTACCAGTACTACTAACAATACCACAGGATCAGAGGTCATTAAACTGCAAGTTGTGAGGAGACTAGGAGACTGTTCTGGGGAAGGATTAGTTTGTTTTGTTTCCTACTGTTTTCCAGGCTGCTGCTGTCAGCCACAGCCAGAGGCAGGGCATGAGACTATACTGCCCTTTGCTGTAAAACAGCACAGCCATTATTACTATGCAACATTTCCCCAAAACTGATCCTTGTCATGAAAACTTACTTTTCATTCCAATTCTTACTCTTTCAAACTGTGGTGACACCAGTTTATCTGAAAAGTATAACCCTGGGTCTGGCAGCTTCATGGACTCAAGATGCAGAAGACAGCTACCAGAAAAATTTAGCTTAGGACACAGAACTTAGGCCATGTCCTGCAAAACATCACTCCTGTTAGAACTGCAAGGAGCCACACCTGATGCCCACCGCAACGTTTGCATTTCTGCAGCAATGGAAACCTAAGATTTCAGACAGGTTCTAAAAAAACTTGTGGATCTTCCAAAAACATTTAGGGGTGAAGCAAGTCAGAATCTGCAATAATTTCCCTTCATTGAACAGTGAGTAACTCTATGCAAAGATACAGCCTCCTTGTCTGGACACCCTTACACACGACAAAACAAGGAAGCCGCATTTCTCTTGTCTGTGGTCTTTGTTTCTCCATTAAAGCAATATCTATTTTTAGGGTTGACAACAGTGATAATCACTTAATCCAAGAATCCATCCTGACCCCAAATGACAGACTAGCATTGCAACAGCAAGTCTCACATCAAAAAGTCTGACCAGAGACGTCGAATAGCATCTCTACTGCTTTACCATTCTCCATGTTTTTATGGCAATAAAACTTGGCCAAGTAGTCTGATATCACAGGTCCTTGTAAGACAGGATTGTTGAAAGAAGTCCTTGTAAATGCTAATGACTGACAGGACACCAAGACACAAATAACTGAAATTGAAACGTCTTTAGAAAAATATGCATGGTTTCATTCAGCAAGAAAATATCTTTCCTTAAGGAATTACTTTAGCTCTTCAGATAAGTGATGAACATAAATAATTTAAACTCTCCTCAACAGACATTGCCATAAATACACAGCTCTGTCATGGTTCCCACAGACAACATACAAACAATGAAAGTTTCTTCACAGTTTGTTTGTCTGAATAATGCTCAGTGATTTCCACTTCTTTTGTGCACTCCTCCTATGCAAATGATTGCCATAACAGTTTGGCTTTGTTCTACACACCCTTTATGTTTTTATCTTCTTTCTTGGATAGTTGTAGAGGTAAATGGATATCTAATTCCATTAAATTTCAGAGCTTATTACATAAAAAAATTTTACTCTCAAAACAAATTCCATTTCAGTACTTACTAAGATCTACATCCAGACCTGAAGATAGGCAAGAACCTGTAATTTTAAAATTTGTAGCCTGACTTTTTAATTCACATCTTAGATAGAAAGTTGTGTGTAAACTGAAAATGCAAATGCTGCCTTGTTAATTGACAGCACCTATTTTTATACTCCTGTATAAGTTTCCATTTATTGCTAATAGTGGATTAGGGATTGTCACAGGACTCCTGTTAATTTTATTCATTATTGAACTACAGGGTTTTTTCCTGTAGTGCTGGACAACTTCAGCAGTCAGTAACAGTGAAGTAGAAGTCCTGTAGAGTACTGCTGAACCATATGGTGCCTTCTCTGAGTAGCCCGTGTGTTTTTTAACAACCCTTCACTTTCTCCTTGAATGCTGAAGACTTTCAGCCATTATTTCAGTGCCTTTGGATATTTAAACCATTAGTGCCTTTGGATATTTAAACCAAGTGCTAAACCAACACCAACAGTGCACAGTGTCTGTGCCTCTCAGTGGTGAAGAAATAGTATGAAGTAAGAATCAACTCTTTCTCTACATTTGGCTGTTGACATGGGAAATGGATCTAATGCTGGGATGAGGATGGTGAAGACTGGCTTGCACCCAAGTGTGACTGGGTGATCACAAAGAAGGATACCAGAAGGCCATATTCCTAGGACATGACTCCTACTATGCCCTAACAGAGAAAGCACCTTTCTTTCAGTGGCCGGATGGTCATAGTTCCTTATTTCTCTCATCCACCAAAGAGAGAAAGTAGTTCATACTCAGGTCTTGGCTGTTTTTCCTAAGTTTAATTACTAAGACTCAGCTACTAGAACTGCTGAGGTAAAAGCCAAACAGCACTTGGACACCAGACTCACAGGTCACCTCTGCAAGCAAACAGTGGTTTCCAAAAGGAATAGCAATACAACTAGAAATGGAAAAATACCGAGAGAAAAACACACTGGTTACTTCAGCTGAAAATGCAAACTTCTCCAAAGCAGAACAGGACAGCTGGGGATGCTCGTGCCATCGGCCATTCAGCAGAGCATGATGACACAGATCTGTCACTGTGAGACAATCTCAATCATCAGCGACAGGGAGCACAATGCCTTGCGTGGTTTTTGAAGAAAATTCAATGTTCATCACAAGTTGATGGGTTTTAAATACTACAGCAAGGAAAGTCAGAAAAGAACTGCAGCTAAGACACTGCTGAAGCTAGATCAACCTTAAACACGTCTAAAGGCTTTGATCAAGTTCTTCAATTTAAATAATTTCAGGCAGGCATATAAAAATTTCTAGATGTCTTCTGGAAGAAAAAAATTGTGATAAGTGGCTAAGGCTAGGACATATGTCACTGACTAAATCTAAAAATCAGTACACCAAAAACAGAAATGGGGAAAGGTGAGGAGATGCAGCCGAAGTGTTTTTCACAAATAATGTAGGTTCTGTGATAAATTCAATTTTGCTGACAGGTAAAATGAATGCCAAATGGTTTGACCACTGATCAAAGACAAAGACTGACATATAATCTGAGAAGGACTGATATACAATGCAAGTAATGGAAGCGTTTAAGGATGATAGGGTAATTAAACGTCAGCCTGCATAGCTCAATGGGAAACAGGTCTTGTAAGATAACATGTATGTATTGAAATTATTTATTTATTAAACATAGTTACAGAGATACCCTCACAGACTATTATAAAACTGCTGATTTAGAATCTTCACAGGACTCTAACTAGCACACACAAAGGAAGAAATGCCACACATTAGTTTAAAACTGGCTTATAAATATGAAAAATACATGTTGGAAAATCATGATCAGAAGATAAGGTAAACTAGTTTCTGTTCCTGAGCCACTGCTAAGGGAAGTTTCAAATAAAAGACAAAACTGATGTGCAAATCTTTAAGACTGGCTTACTAGAAAGCAAAAACGGTGGATAATGACTAGCCAGTAAGTAAAATAAAAATATTTTTGTTTATGCTATCTTACATATTAAAATTATATTACCACTAACACTTCCTTCTACAGAATTGCTATCCCATTTAGAATAAAGAATGGCTTACTAAACACAGCCTTCAATATTTCTGTTTCTCTTCATCCTTTACTATATGATTGCAGGGTTAGCTTCTGGGCTGTCTGCCCTGAACATGTAGTTATATTTTCTGTATTTTCCTGTAATTTTTTGTAATTTGTTACAAATATAGCAGGAGTTGCTTGCAAATAATAATCTTCACAATACTACTGTGAGGCATGATCAAGATGATCATTTTTACAGGAGAGAAAATTATAACCAAATATCTTTCAGTTTCAAAAATACAGCTTGAGAAGCCCAGGACCAGATCTGCTCAAAACACAGGCCTAACCATAAAAAAAGCGCTGCTGAGTCGTCCTCAACTACTAAACAAAATGGAAATATTTCACATTGAGTATTCAAAAGCCACAGAACTAGTATCTACTTACTGATAGAAGCAAATCACCCAGCATCAGACACAAACATTTTTCTCACAAACCTGCACTCTCCTTAATTGTAGGAATTTCTTCCCTGTTCTCCTTCATACACCATAAGATGTTCCAACTTTAACAAACAGGGTCACAGTGTGACAAATAAAAGGCTCCTTTACTACCCATTCATCTGTTACCAGGGCAACAATCTGTGCATATACTGCATGAGACAAGAGTTGTCTGGAAAAATGCTCTGCAATCGAGTACTAATGCTAGCCTGTAATACAGAAGAAAAGAGCTAACTTTCCAGTGCTTAATGCTTTTAATTTTTGTCTTGGATGACATTGTGGTGAAGTGCTTGGGTTTTTTTAAAGCTATTGGGGAAAAAAGGAGAATTTCTTTTATGTTGGCCTGTCTCAAACCCAAAGTCAGGTGTGAGCAGGGCTGCAATCTCAAGAGCTGCAGCACAGAAGCCCACTACGAAAAGGTGCAGGTAACACTTTGCAGGGTACACTTTCCTTCTTTGGCACAGCTTACTAGAGAGCAATTTTTAACTGGTATTTAGAGATTATCAGCAATAGAGAGATCATGGATTTAGCAGCACCTGAACTGCATAGAAGAATATTTTTCTGTAATTACAACCTACCCACTCTGCCTGCCAGCAATCTGAACTTTAACATGTCAGCAGTTGATTAGGAGGCAAAGGGGGAAGGAGACAGATAACCTACTTAACTGTGGCCCCTAAGCTCTTCTGTTAATTCACCCATCTTAAGATTGAAGGCTGCACGATTTAATCTAACCAGGTTTGCTCTTCCCACCTGCTCTCTGAACATCAGCAACAAACTAATAAAAAAAGCAAGTTAGGTCTTGCATAGAAGATTGACTACTAGGAAAAATAAAAAATTAGAGTAGCCCTTACCATACAATTTAGAAAGTAATGCCACCAATTTCAAAAAAAAAAAAAAACAACTCTAAAAGGCATCATATAGTTAAGTATGGATGGATTTTCACATGGGCAGAACATAGCATTTATCTGCCATTTGGGCAAGCTCCCTATCACATTTCTAATTTCTACAACAGCAGCAGACTCACTCACTCAAAACTAAAAAAACGGACACAAAAATATCCCTTATTTTCTTTAACATTTTCTCAAACAACTGATTCAATTTCTTCTAAAAAAGTCTTTTCAAAAATAATTTAGCCTGAGACAGAACATTGAAAATGGCAAGTTGCAAAGTGGAAGAACTTGAAAGCTATCAGCAACTGAGGGGAAAAAAAAAAAATCTATCTTGTGGAAAAAGTTAGGTAACCTGAAATACAGGTGGTACATTCTGAGCCAGTTATAAGAAAGAAAGGCAAGTTACACAAAGCAATCCAATGTTTATGAGTTGGGACTCCTCCAGTCATGCATCTCAATACAGTCAAATGCAAGGCCAGACATCCAGGAACAGAGAACAGAGGTCGCACTTACAGGATGGAGAACTGAACCCTGGAAGTCAGTGACTCTGAAAAGAACAACGGATCATATGGGATCATCAGCTTAACCTGAGCTCGCAGCCAGCTTCTGTGGCAAAGAGTCCACAAAGGCATCCTGGATATTTACACACCAAAGTATCAAGTAGAAATCAAAACGAGGTACTACTCCTGCAAACAGCACTGCTGAAAGAGTGCTACTGAAATATCCAGTGCTTGTAACTTCACTACCACAAAAAGCTATTGAAACAAAGGAACATTCATAAAAGGGTCACCAAAAAACAAACCAAACACCACAGAAATGCTCTCATGAGAATTCAGCACTTAAGTTCCTTTGCTCAAGTAAAGCTTAAGCTATATGGCCTGCAAGTAACTGTAGGAAAAAACACAGAACTAATTGAGTAGACAATGAAAAAAAAGCAAATACCTGGACCCAGATTTGTACAGTAAAGGTACTTTTTTTTCAATTCAGGATTAAGATCGGCTGAAACTAAATTTGTTAACACCATTAATGTTTCACCACCCTAAGTCTTCAAAGCAAGATTATATGTTTGAAATACATCCTTGTTCAAACACAAGTTATGGACCTAATGTGGAAACCACTAAATCAAATGTTTGATCTGTGCTTTACACTGATCCCTGTGGGCTTTAAAGAATATCCATATATGCCGTAACGAACTTAGGGGACAAACTATGATTTTCTTTTTAGAGAACGAACTATAATTTCCACTCATGCTTTATCTTCAGGAGAAACAGGCATGAACTTTTCATCTCTAAAGCAATTATTCAAACAAGGCTCCCTGAATTCCTCAACACACAGAAAAATACTAACCCATTAGAGATTAAAATGCATTACCCCATTGGCTGTGGTTAAATATATCATTTCCAGAAAGAGAAAAATACAATACTTGCTTAGATATCTTAACACACACTAAGCAGAAAGGAACTGTTGTGCAAAACTGTCAAATACTACATTTTCTCTAAAGGCTTTCTTACAGGATAGCCTTGTTCCTTTCTGGGGAAGGAAAAACAAACAAAACCACAAAACCAAAATGAACACCCAAACAAACAAACCAAAATCAAACAAAACAGCCACCAACTCCATAAACCAAGACATACAAACACAAAATTCAACACTCTTTTCAATCTTTACCTGTTCCTGTACATCTTCAAACTCTGAACTAAGCAGCTCTATGAAGATGGGGACAGCTCCTGCTTGGATCACTATTCGAGTCTGAAGGGAATTTCCCGAGGCAATATTTGTCAGCACCCATGCAGCTTCAAACTGGAAAACAAAATACAAAAGAGAGTTTACAAGGAACTTTCTATGCTACACCAAACATGAAGACTAAATGTCTTTTAAAAACAGAAAGAACTGGCTTAGGAAAAATGTGAGATATTACTAATTAACAGACAATTTGCAAAATAGGAATAAGAATGATAGTGTTATGAGTTACTGCTATCACTTGAAATAAAAATTTGCTAAGTTCCTTACAAGAATATTGAGTTCACTGTGGCTTTTCAAATTTTATTTTTTTTTGCTATGCATTTATGTTACCTTTGCCTTTCCTTACTAGCTAAGAACCTATAAACAAAAAAATGTGCTTTCCCACGTGGCACGACATCTGCAACCACTGAATCACCAATGAAATTCCCGAAGATGCATGAAAAGACATTGTTTGAAAAATTTTGATTGATATGAAGCAAAGAAAAGACTCAGAGGAGATTAAAAAAAAAAAAGGAGATTTCTAAAAAAAACTCAAAGCACTTGTCTCCAACTCTAATGATAAGTATCCCTGACAAGTGTTATTAAGTGTAAAATGGTTTTTTTCAAGACTTGAAGCAAAACTCAGATCCTGAATTAACAGTTAGCATATTTTAACTGGTTTTGTAATTTATTTTTATTTTAATCTCAACTTGCAAAAGCACTAACTTTTCAAGCTGAAATGCAAATTTTAATACTACCTGACACAGGCCTCAGAAAACACAGATTCTACAAGTCCAGACTTTGGTAGATTTCTGCATGGTTTTGGTTCAAAAATTATTAAACGACACTAGCAAATTTAAACCTTATTAGATACATTCAGAATCTATAGAATGAAAAGATCACGAAAAGCTGAATGAAAAGGCAAACATCAAGAAACACCACAAATGGAAAGTCCACAAACTCCTCAAGAGTAGCTAACAGACCTCTGGAATTCCATGGATATCAATCTGAAAAGTAATACCTATAAGCAATTTCTCTAATATGTAAGAAAACTATCAATTTTCTGTATATCTCCACTCCACAAAATTTGGATTTCATGTGGCATTAACGAAACTGTTGCCCTATGGATTTTGACACAACACTGATTCTAGCCTATATGTTGTATTTAATGGTTACATGTTAAATTAACACATCTTACGAGATGATTTGTTTTCCTTCACTTTCTACTAGCCCAGAACAACTCTGACCAGGAAAAAGGATAGCTGAAAATGAGACAAAGGTCCAAGAAAAATTAACCACCATTGCAGCAGATGCAATTCTATTTTTCAAACCACAGTAAGTTTTTAAGTGTCTATGTTTATCATTACAAATTATAATTCTAATTCTAAACTTTTTGTAAATTAATCAAAAATTTAAGTCATAATTCTAAAGATTTAAAACTGTCTTCAATTTGTAAAAAAAAAAAAAAAAAGACAAAGACTAAAGTTTAGTTTAATAACTTGTCAACTTTAGAGTTGCAAATTTCAAGCTCTATTTTTGTTGAAGCGCACAGATCCCATCCTATCCATCACTCAATGCATCTCAGACCTCTCTCTCTCCTGTCCTGTCCCCAGAGGTCTTGCTAGAAACTCTGAAGATAAAACAGCATTTTTAACACAGTGAAGAAAGAGGGAAAGTACAGCTAAACAAATCACTGATTTTTTTTTTTTCTAATTTGCATCACCAAATGCCTTCCCAATCTACGAAGACAGATGTATTTATATACCTGTAATGTACAGTTTTCTTTTCGTTTGAGGAACTCCACAAACCTGGCCACCACTCCTTGTGTGCTTATGACTTCATCTATTGGGGGATTTGGTTCTGTTTAAAATAAAAAGTAAAGTTAGATACATTCATTTCTTTGTAGGGAAGTTCTCAAATTACTGCATCATAATAATATCCAGTAAAATAATGACTGCTATTTTTGAGAGTATGTTCTTTTTCTACAATACTTTACTAAAAGCCATGAGATTCCTATCTGTCAATATAAGAAAACTTCAGTCTGAAATTAAAGGTAACATGATTCAAAATGCTAATGCGCTCAGTAATTTAGGCAGACCAAATTCACAGCAGCAGTTCATGCGCAGAGAAACTTCAGTATATCAGTATATTTGAGCCACAGAGACACTGCCTACAACATTTAAACTTACATTCAAGAGGAGACATCACATCTGCAACACTTGAAACCGATTTCAAGACAAGAAGTGACTATTACATACATGTAGCTGACAGTTTGTAAAGCAGAGCTTGACCCAGAAATTTCAGTGTGAAATTCAATCCATATTGCTGTCAAAGTAAAAACACGTACCAGGGAGGCTTCTACCTTTTTCTCCAAGTAATTTCTTTACCTTTAGAAAGGAGCTTTCGGAACTTCTGGGTGGCTGAAAGCTGCTGTTCTGGACTATTGGAGAAAATCATCTCAATCATATCAGAGGTGATGACTGCACTCTAGGGTTCACATGGCAAAACAGAATGACAGTAACAAGAGAGCAAAGGGAAAAAAAAAAAAAGGGATTAGTGGTAAACAGGTTACATTTGTTAAACCAGTATCAAGTTAATCTCTCATTGGGTAAAAACCCAGGTAAGACCATTATAGACAACAAAGGAATCATCGTACACATATATCTACATAAGCAGCATAACTTCAAGTGCAACATTTCTTTACTGGAAGCCAAAATTCAAATTTTACTCAATATATGGCAAAAAAATTACTCTCCAGAATCGTTCACTGTATTCTCTCCCCTCCCCTAAAATAACTGTAAAATTGTCAGCTTCAACAGAATGTAGTTTAAATTGGAATTGCAATTACTGTTATGCAAGAACACCACTTTGACTGTGCTATTGTTTAATTTTTTTAACATGTACATTTTGACTTATTCTCTTACACCAAAATGTACAGGACCTGTCATTTCTAGAAGAGTTGCCAAACCTAATGCTTATCATCATCAAGAAAGAGTATTAAATTTTCCACAATACTAATGGTTTCCAACAATATGGCTAATTAAATCAGCAACTTTTCTTATGCCAGGTAAAATCTGACATTCTGGTTACCACACACATATGTAAAGAAGCATAAGAAAAGTCAGAGTTTTTTCTTCCACTTCTCATCTAAATCTGATTCCAACCTTTAGACAGGGAGAGAGATGACAGTGCTGAAAATACTTAAGCTTTGTCTGTAACAGCTAACTGCTTCAACTATTAATGGCCTGAAACTAATGATATTTAACACAGCAAACTGTATAATGACAATATCTCAATTAAGCAGAATCCTTGCCTAACTATCTATATAAGCTTCCACACAAATGATTAATGGTATTTAGGACTTGCCTGATATTTGAAGACAAACTCTTGAAGAGTAAAACTATATACTCTATTAATGAACTTCCACATTGTTTATAAGCACTTCTCTGTTTCTTGGTAATCTTCAAGGCCCATATAAACACCAACAGAATACAAACCTCAGCCTGATTTCTATGGAAATACCACTTGCATAGTCCCAGTATAGACAGTACGGAGATCAGTGGTCAAACTTTTAAGTGAAGACTGTACTTTCCTCCAACTTCTCTGTTATAGCCTGAACACCTTACCATTTTTCTTTTCAGGGAGAGAACAGTGGTAAAGGAACAAGGAGAAAGCAAAAAAAGTCTAATTTCCACTAAAAGCTTTTTTTCTAGCTTGTAAAGGAGTTTATGACCTCGTGCAGACAGATAAGCTACATCTAGCTTTTCTCCAATACCCTGGTGTCTGCTAAGAAAGATTTCCCCTGACCCCCTTCTGAACTTTGTAAACTGCAATACCACACTGCTTGATTTGCATGTTCATGTTTCAAGCATTAAAAATTTCAGATTAAAAAGAAACCAAGAACTCTCGGCAACAGTTGATAAAATCACCCATAATAGTGAACATCAGAACCAGTCAGTAATCAGCCTGCCAGGACAGTGATGTTTTATTTAATTTTCTTGAGCACATATCCTCTGAACAACCACTCACCCTACCCAAAACATTTTTCTCTCATGTAATCTGTGTCAGGGTAGTTCGCTGAGACAGATGTTTTAGAGTTGTCCATAAGCTCTTTGAATGCATTTTTCACATTCTTCTGGAATTCCATTCCCCTCAAGTTACTGCACAGCAGACTTGCCCAGTTTCAACACAAAAACACTATTCCTTTCTCGTTACTTACAGAAGTCATCTCCATGTTGTTCATCTGAGCCTCATGGAAGCCACCATCTGACATTACTTCCTCCTCCGCTTCTTCCTCAGCCGTCGCAACATTTCGGCGTTTAAACAACTAGAGAGAAAGTGGATTTAATATATATTATACAGCCAATACATACGCAGCACGTCATGTTAGGCTGCAATAAAAATTACACATGCTACTACCTGAAAGAAGCTAATACACTGGCTACAGGACTTCACCTGACAGTACACAGAGAAAGTTTAGCCATGGAGTAAATGAAAAAAACAATGCTAAAAGATTGGTTCCTAACATTTCTGGAAAACTTTCACTGATGTTCCCTTCTCTTCTTCACCATCCACTTCCACCTACAAGCATCTCCAGCTTCCATACAATTGCCTTCTTGTAGAAGTGCTGGGGCTCAAAGACCTGATAAATTGCTCTCTATTACAGATCTTCATAGAACACCTGCAGAGGTTCTGATAAGCGAGTTACAGCAGCAAAGAGAAGGCTTTGGAGGATGATCATACATGGGATTGATATTACACTAGGATGAGCAGAATTTGGTCGCTATGACTTAGAGAGCCAGTACCCAGTTAGGGATGTCATGAGGAGAGCTAGAGAGGCTACAGCTTCTCTCCCTAATCCACCTGTCTCATTGGAAAAAACATCAGCAGTGAGAAGATGGCTTTGAGGATGCTGTTGAGCACAGGAAACAAGATTCCAGCACTAAGCCACGTCAGATTTGCACCATTGCAGACAGGCAAGGTAGAGCCCTAACACAGACCTACCGTTAGTCTTTTCTTCAGAGAAGTCAGGGAGGACCAATATGCAAAACTGCTAAGACTACAGCAACTCTAGGTCAGTGAAAGGCATTCCTATGGAATGTTTTTCCTACTAAACTACGGTACCATGTGCCCACTCAAGCTCAGTGAATGTGCTAAAATACAATTTTAAACCAAAATTTATACACTGCCAAGTTATAAGAAAATTCAGAGACCTGAGGTTGTTTTTGTGATGTTGTTCAGCTAAAAAAAACATAAAAAACCAAGACAACCCACCAAACAAAAAAATTGAAACTACAAGACAACAACCTGAGAAGAACCAGGTCAACAAATTATTTCTTCCCTCAAGAAGACCATTACAGCAACTTCTAAGGACTTGGTCATATCTTCTCATCCTTCTGTTGTAGCTGTAATGTTTCCTTCCATTTCACCTCAGCTTACCACCCTCTGAACAGATTAGAGCCACCACAACTCATAGGAAAATAAATAAATAAACCAAGAACAAAACAGGAGTTCCTCAATCACCTTCACTGCAAGGTCAGACAGTTCTGTGAAATCTTTAGGCTGCTCTGTCAATATTGCATTTGAGTGCATGAGGAGCAGTCACCCTGAGCCTCGTACAGCCTGCAGAAGAGGCAGTAAATTCTGCAAGCAATTCTGATTTCAGACTGACTACATATGAACTTTGAGGGCAGGAACAACTAAGAAAGGGCTTGGGAGAAGCAAAAGCCAGAGACAATGTAAGACAAGACTGTTTCAGGACTGGTCCCATTTACCACAACTGCCGTGCATTACCTGCTCTTCTCTCTTTTGCTTCCGCAGCTGAAGACCCTCCTCCTCCCGCCTGCGACGCATCTCGTCAGGGTTCAGAGATTTGTTCTTGTAGCTCTTCAGTCGGAAATTCTCTTTTCCTGAGGTCGTCATGATTCCTTCACAATACAAAGAGAAGACAGAAAAAATTACTCTTCAACACATCGTTTTATATTCTGTCTCCACTTCTTAAAATCTGTTGCCGTGAATTTTCAGCCACTGCCTCCCTACACCCCGTCACCTAACTTCCAACAATTTAGAAGGTGTAAAGCAAAATTTCACAAAATTTTCACTTTGGTGTGCCAGTTCTTCACATCAGTCCAACAAACCTTTATTTTATTCTTTGAGGCTGCAGAGAATAAGTGAAATATTTTATTAAGAAAAAACTGAGGTCTATAAGGCAAAGTATACAGCCTGGGCTAAAAAGATAACTACACTGATGATTTTTAGCATTTCTCCACACAGAGAATAAGCCAAACTACTTACATACCCCTGTCTTCACTCAGAAATAAAGGTGTCTTAGGTGCTTTTTAGTTTGATTTACTTTGCGAGTCAGTAGAGGTTTGTGGGTTTTTTTCACTCCAAATACACATTTTAAGTAAATTTAACAAAACCCTGTTGAAGAAACCCTGTGTTCTTTCTATCCAGACAAGGTTTACAAGGAAATTGAAGTGAAAAGAAAAATTTTAGGTGAGGATGATTGAAATTGCTCTGTTCTGCAAAGAAAGCAGTGCTATTGTTCCTCTCCTCCCCACCCCCAGTCTCTAATCCTGTCACTGTTTATGTAGAGGGGCCTTTTTTCAGTCTGTGCTTTCCAAGTACCATCTGTCTTATGTAACTCAGTGGATCAGCATTTGTAACTAACCATGAAAATTCTCACATGTACACCACCACACTTTGGAGTTACTTAGCACAAAACAGTAGGTATCGTACTGTGTGGAAAGGACACCTTCCCCTGAAATCAGTGGGCTGTGGATCAGGTCTCTACTCTTAGTGCTCCCTTCTGCTGCTACTTCTCTCCTTATATCACCCCCTAAATCCAAGAGGTTGGGAATCAAATTCTCAACATGTCAGGATTTCCATGCATCTTCAATGCAGAATCTTTAGTACCTTGTAACGACCTGTAACACAAAATTTAGGGAGCTGTACTATACATAAAGTTACTCTACAAGGCTTTAAAGTTCTCTTTCGAATGCCCTAGCATGTTGTATAAAAACCACTACCTACCTCAAATTCCATAAGCCCAGCATCACCAGATGAAAAATGATCTCCTGTGCACTTTTTATTTTAAAATGGAGCAATGTGAGTGCATACAGCCTTGCAACAGCTTAGGTTTCCTATTAAAAATACATCAAATCAAGTCTGCTCTAACCTCTTCTTCTTTCAGTTAGCACAAAGAATTTCAAGAGAATAAAAAAATAAAGAGGATACTTGCATGTGCTTCTTGTTAGAGCCTCTTTTTAAGTTGCTGTTACCTGACAATCACTTTGAAGAATTCTGACAATCAGAACTTACTTTCACAGAAAACATTTTGGGCATCACTTCAAGAGTTATTGTATTCTGACAACTCAAGTTTAAAAAACTGTTCAGGAACACAAACTATTATATTGATTATCAGTCAGTCACAATTTGCACCAAATGCAACATAAAAACCTGAGTATACCGGTAGGTAATTCAGCAGCCTAATTTTGCTGAAAATGTTGTTCTGGAAATTACTTTTTTTTTTTTTTAAATAAAGGTACTACAAAAAGAGAAATCTCAGAAAGACAGAAGTTCCCTACATCACTCTTAACATCTTTGAGACCCCCTTCTTCCTGTGTTTACATGTTTGTGCTTTAAGTGTTTGTGTTTCTTAAAACATGCATGGCAACTACATTTTCTTCCCAGTTTTAGTTCAAGTGACTACTACCAGTATATTAAACTTACACACTATCTGAAGAAGCCCTGAATTTTAAATCTAGAAAGAAGTTCAGGCTAACAAATACTCAGAATTTCTTTTGTTCCTAAAATATTTTGAACAAAACATTTGATGTATTTTAGAATTAGCAAGATGAACTCAAACGCCAGATGGACAACCATGAGCTAAAAGGACACGCCAAACAGAAAAACGGCTTTGGGGACACTCCAGTCATTCTGCCCCTGAACACGAACAAACGCAGGCACACGCCACAGCCCAGACAAGATCTCAGGCTCTCCATAACGTTATTAATAAATCTCCATTTTTGTCTGAAACCTGTCTTCTCAAACTCACAAGACTGTATTTTGCCTTTACTGGGAATTCAGCACTTTGATAAATTCCTGCGGTCCTTTCACACCTTCACTTTCAACCCCTACAAGTTCTTAATCTCAATGAATCCTTGACAGGGAACATCTTCATCCCTTAAAACTAAAATTCATCTAATTTCTATTATGTAGCCTCTCCATATAATGTTCTACTGTTTCAAACTTCAATGACAGCACCAACTTTATCATAAATAAGTTTCTTTAGTGTATTCTTCCTTACTGTACATTTTTAACTACTTTCCCCTCATCTCTCAACTTGTGTATTAATTTTCTTTTGATAAATTTTGCTTCTGACTTTAAGGTAATAATTTCCATTTTCCTTTCAGAGTTCTATTAGCCCACTCCTCTTGTACCTTACATTACTGTTTCACTTATTGAAAACATAGGCACAGGATTTACCTGAATTCTCTCTCTGACTTGATCTCAACCCCTCTACCCAATAGCTTCACTAGAATTATCTTCTGCTTCTTACACCCTTTACAAGCTTTAGCCACAGCTTTTGGCTACACTCATTTCTGACTTTCAAGACAGCTCATTTTGCTGACTAGCCCCTTCATCTATTTTCTGAGTAAACTGTACACTTAAAATCCTTTCAAAATAGTATATTGTGCTTTACCTGGGAGTACAAATGCCTACCACCAAATGACTGGGAAGAGTTTCTTTTATTAAAGGTGACAAAATTAAACTCCCTCCACCACTGAGAAGTTACCAATTCAAGTAGCGATGAGTTCAATAATTTATTTTATAGCAGGCCCTCACTGGTAGTAAATAAGCAAAATCCCAGCACATAGCCACATATCCATTTTATGTATCTGCCTATCTAACCTGTATAACTATTAAATCCATAGTTATTTTCTAAAAGTAGCTTTTATGTCCTGAATAGATCTTAAAATCAATTATTTCTTCACCATTCTTTTACTGGTTTCCCGACTCCTGATGAAAAATTCTATGACCCCATCAGGGATTCCATCTAGCCCACACATGCTGCTAACATCTTCAGACCTACTCAAGTGTGTGAGCACACAATGGCTTTTCAGGACTGAAAATATAACAATTCTATGTTAGTTGTTACAGTCATCCAAGGATTGTTTGCTATAAATCTCCTCCTCCATCTTTCAGGATGCAGCCTTTCCCCCACACTAAGCAACAGAAGCAAACCAACTTCAAATTGGCCTTCAGCAGCTTTGTTATGACTTAGATGAAATTTTTTCAATGGTCACTTTAAGTTCACCCATGTAGCAAATAGTAAACCCTGGATTTTCTCTGCATTGTCAAAATTAATGCTTCTTCTGGTGAAGATCTCTGGTGGTTGTCATGGAAATGTTCTACACATCTTTTCTTTCCTAAAGATAGCACAGTATTGTCCACATATTTTTTATACTCCTGGCTACAGATAAAAACCTCTGGAGACCTGGTAAGGAACTTTCATGGTGTATTCTTAGGGCTTTTGTGTAACACCACTCAAATCCCGTATGACACTTTCTCCTCCTCAGTTTGGTTGCCATTAAAAAAAAAAAAAAATTAGTACAATTCTGTCTACTCCTGAATGTTTGCATTTCTCTAAGGAAAATATGACCCCAGTTTTTTTGCTGATTAAGACAAGAACCCTACCAAATGTCAATGTGTTCAAAGCACACACTTCTAGGGGAAATAAAATGTACTGCATTTCTCCTTGCTCATCAAGTAAAAGAAATTCAGAAGCACTGGGAAATACAGAGTCACTTACTGCCATGACCTACCTTGTCCCAAGTAATCATCTAGATAGGAACAAAAATGAACTCCCTGCCTTCGTAAATCAGATATCACTGTCACTAGACTTAAGAGCTTCGCCAGAAGGAATGCCATGTGACTAATACTCTTGGATATTCCGCACGTCAGAGGTACCGAGATGTAAAAATAAAGCCCTTACAAATCAAGACCTGTGTAATGGTATATATAACCACATACATTTTTTATATGTAAGAGTATACATACACACCATGTATGCAGAGCTGAAACCAAGATTAAGAAATACACTGCTGATATTAAAGACTGCTGGAGACAAACTTTCCTTCTTTGGAAGTAGGAGTGGGAATAGTAAACCTATACAAGACATTGTACCTTCTAACAGGAGTATAATGGAAGCAGAAGACTTGAAAATTAAGGCAGAGAAGGAGGTTGAAGAGAAACAGCGTGGGGAAAAAAGTATCTAAACATCCATGATCTGCCGTAATATCAGTGTACATTTCCTAACTAACAGAGCAGTTGACAGAAGGAAAGGACTCACTAGAGGCAGACTTGTGAGCTCTGGTGTGCTGTCAAACTGCTGTCTCTCCTTTTGATTCCTGCCACAGAGACAGTGAAACAATCCTGAAAGGACAAACCATGTTGGAAATGGCACTGTCAAGATGGAACTCTAAGAGTGAGAGAAGCTGGAATTACTCAAGGTAATCAATGTACAAACACCTTTACTTCCAAGGTGATTTTAGCTTGTGTATTGGCTCTGCCATGGGACTCGAGACTTCCTAGAGAAGTTACATCACAATCGTGCTTCTTGACATAATGCCAAATACCTACAGCACAGCCTGGACAGATGTTTGAGCAATTCACTGAGGTCTGATTACAGGATGCATCACCCTCTGACACTCTTTAGCATGAGACTAGAAAACCTATCCAATGTAAAGAAACTAACCTGAAAGTAGCACTCAATCATTCTTTGCTCTCATCGAAACGCTCTCTACAAATTCAACATTTTGGCCACAAATGTGTTTGGGGTTTTTTTTCCCATGAAGTGTAGATTTTAGAAAGTCCTTCTAAGTTGCTTTTTAGTAATTAAAAGGCAACAGATCAGAATGCT